TGACTTACAGACTGTGGCAATGTACCAAGTTCCCGTGCCTAAAAATTAGAAATTTACCGCGCAAAAATTATTAAATACTATCGCGACCTTAATTGTTATCTTATTACATTTGTGTGTGCCCCGTCTGTATGTATGTGTAAAACGTCGCGTCCTATATACATGTTTATTAATACATAGTAAAAGGATAATGCACAAAAAGAGGTGAGGCTCTGGGGAGCCGAAGCTCCCCAAAATAGGAGTATTAGTTATATAGAATAAGTAGGTCGCAATAGTAGATCGATAGTGGCAATCCCGACAATGGGGAGGAATGCTTTTATACTCCAGGGAACAAAGGTCGAAAGTTTAATGAGGGTAGGGCGGTCAAAGTTTTAACCACGGACAGGGGTACTGTGTCATAGTAACGCAGTTGGCCTTTAATCTATTTTTAACAAAAACCATTAATCATTATTTAATATATTACGCGATAATACACAGGGGAAAAATTATTAAATGCAGCTCTATTAAACAAATACCAGCTATGAAACTTAAACATCATAACGTATGTGTAAATGCACATGCAAGTGCATATGTGATGTACGACTCCCGCGTCGGCACAAGGCATCAATGATCTAGGTGTGTTTTGCCTGTCGTCTTATATATTGTGCTCAGCAGTATGGTCGTACCGTTTTAGCGAGTGGCAGTGTGCCTCCTCTAGTTCACACTGAGTGCACTGTGTTGTCTACTGACTACCCCAGTGGTGCACACACAACGCCCCCTACTGCCTCCGCTTATTGAACGTAGGCGTGCTTGCGCTGCCCTGGCCGCGCTGCTCTTTCGACTTTTTATGCGTTTTGTGCTATGTAACAGCAGTACAAAGCGCATATTGTCACGGGGTTGTCTGTGTGTGTTTGTGTGTTTGTGTGTGTGTGTGTCCGCAACAACTTGTCCACAACTTTCAACTCGGGAACCATAAAAGCTAGGAAGCTGAAAATTTAGGGGGACATGTGAAAAAGTCCCCGCAGCTTCTCCATTTTAAGAGTGAAAGTAAACATTAAAATCTATGTTTTGCTATAAAAATAATACACAGAAAAAGGCTATGCAAATTATTGCAACTTAATACCAGCCTATTCTCATTTTTGCTTCAAATACTGATTAAAAAAAGAACTGGGAACTGTACTTTTTTATTGATTTCTTCGCGTTTTGCTTGCATTGCCGACTGTTTAGTGCAGATCAGATCGACCTGTTTCGAGAAATCCGCCACCTGCGCTTCCAAACCTCTTTGCTGTTCCTGACATTCCTCCAATTCTCGCGTAAGCTTCTCGTTGTCCGCATCGTATTCAGCCAAATGCAATTCCAATTCTAAAGAAAACA